TTATTATTCATTCAAAATAATTCCTAGTTTAAAAACAAAGCTAAAACATGCTTACCTCCATCGATGTTAAGTTCACCTTCGATAGTGCACGTTTAGGGTTCTTCAGCTCCGCAAATATTCTCCAAATAGCAGATGTCGCCCTTCGAGTTGTGTTCTTGCTGTTCTTGCTGTGTTTTTAGCTATAATTTCGCCTAGTTCTTACTCTTGAAAAAAGTGATATGTCCGCCATTTTTTGTTTTCACAACCAAAGCAACTCAACCTCGTCCCCATGTCTTCTTGGTTAACGGTGCATTAACCTGCAAGAACGCTGCATTTTTGACGTCATTTCCTCGTTAAACACAAAATTCTTCCAAATTTGGTCATCAGCAACTGGTTATGGTGAATTATGCGTGTGCTTTCAGCCAATCAGAATCGGGGAAATATGTTGAATGAATAATGATATTACATATCTTAGACCCGGTCTTGCGTCATCGATCAGCTTTTCTTAAAAGCTTAGTCTGCATTCGTACAATTCTTATCGTTTCTGCCCTTTCCCCTGACTCAAACTCTACCCACACGGCACACTATTTCTACCCACATTAGTAGTGACGAACATCAGCCATCACGCCACATGAAGGAAGACAGAGCCGTATACACACTTGCACTCTTGTGTAAATAAATTCCAAAGACCTATGATCACGTACACTAAGTGTATTTTTTTTTTTAATTTTGTTGTAAACTTTCCGTCAAGGTAATGTACTAACAATACCCTGTAGCGAAGAGAAGTTAGACTTCAAGCTTTAAGTTGAACCGAGAAAGCTACGGAGCATTGATCATTCTTTTAAATTGCTTGACTTCCCAGTCACACGAATTAACTTACATGTAAATCACCACTGAATTTTTAAGAGCACGCTTGTAGTGGCATCTGAACAACATCATGCACTTTTGTTCTATGGCTAAAACCTACACTGATGAAGGGACAGCAGTCTGAAAACATTTTTCCTGCCCAAAAATAACTATAACTATTGTTCTCTTAGCAGTCTCTATATCATAAGCCCTTCACAGTTTTCATAAATAAGAGGTATATTTACTTTCCATCCGATGTCTTCCTTTTGAATTTATGCAATACCGTAACATATAAACTTTCCCAAGGTGTGATAACCATGTTCATTAACTCCAGCCGTATCTCCAAATCTTAACTGTAGCACAGGAAGGTGAGATTTTTCAGTGAGAAGACCGCTGTCCTCACGCAAGACAAGATCGTTCTTATCGCAGTTGCATCCTTTGCTGCTGTCTGCACACGAACTCGTCAGTCCGCATGCGCATTTGTTGGAATCAGCGGGTGCTGTTCCACCCCAATACGTCATTTGAACATTATCACGTGATACCCACCATCCAAATGAATTCCCGTTTGCGAGAAGTCGGCTTCCCGCACATTCGTACTTGATGAATTGCTCGCAATTTAGAGAGACAATGGAAAGCCCAGTTAACTGTGCAATGCCCCTTAGGCCCGTTCCAATATAAGTAATGTCACGTGCGTAACTTCCTTTGGGTTCAGTCCCATTTACCAGAATTCTATCTTCACTGTCGTGACCAACGACAGTCACGCCAACTCCGCTCTTGTCAGTCATGTCACAATAGACTGTGAAGGGTTCGTAGCTTCCGTCACCATCAGGGTCAATTACGCACGGCCCACTTTGGATGTTTAGACTCTGAATCTTTATTTCACTGCAGGTTTTACCTAGAAGAAATCAGTGTTAGATAATTTATTAGTCAAAGCTAGTCTTCTCTAAATGAGCTGTATGCGAAACTTTGAAACTAAGTCAAATTCCGAAATTTATTATCTGTCTAAACTTTTGGATTTTTCTGATTGAAATATCTCTACCGGTATGTACCGCAAAGCAGGCCGGTAAACGACAGGTTTGAAAGCATGGGCGGCCAAGTCACACAACATAAACTCAAGATGCAAATCATAGTGCAACAAAAAACGAGATCCGCATGTGTCGAAGGTTTTAGTAAAGTAGAGGACACACACAGATCAAAGCAACCTTTTGCTCGTGTGCGGTCCCCCACATACCGTAGAGCCGCGACTCCGACACATATGAATGATGCAGAAATGTTGCATCTTGGCCTGAATTGGATGCAAATATTCTGCATGGCCTTGATTATTGTCAGGTCAATCCACTAACAACTAGCATGTGAACAGGCCTTTCCTCGCTATTTTTTCCCCAAACAGAGAGCCTGTTCACAGGCTAACCGACAACACCATTTGCAACCTTGATATGGAACGCACGAACGCGTGTAAACAAGTTACAAGTTACAGCATAACGAAACGAAAGAACACTTTCATGAATCTGGTTTTCACTTACCTGTATTTTCACAGTGAATTCCATAATGTCCCAGATTGCAATGACAGCTGTAAGAGTTCAGTTGGTAATCAGGAATACAGTCACCGTTGTTCTTACAAGGTTCTTGACGACATAGACTCTAAAGTACCGAAAGAAAGAAAAATCTGTAGTAAAATAATTTCATGCGTGTTTAAGTTCGAAGAGTTTGCATTAAATGGCTTAGATAGCTTTTTCTAAGACACATCTGTTAGCAAAGCAGTAAGTCTCGGATCCCTAATGCCATTAGGACTTGCGTCCGAACGTCGATTGAGAAAAAATGGCACTTTGCAATTTATTGTTACTCCAATGAAGAATGAATAAATCTGAACTCACCCAAAGAGAGAAGTGATGAAAGAAAGCATCAGGGATGAATTTCGCTTTTTCCCTGTACTTGTCAGTAGCTAGAAGATCACAAAGGTAAAGTCCTTTAGAGTCAGGGTACGCAGCAACATTGCACGAATAACACTTTGGATCGCTGACGCACTTGAATGGACACTCAGATTGTTTGTTGACAAAGAATGAGGCAATCTTTGTTGACTCTAATGTGTTGTAAGCATACTCTTCAAAGTTTCCATGCGAAACTATATTGTTTTCATGATGATAGAGAGCACCTTGTTGTTTAACAACAATGGCAGCAGTAGTTTGAGGTGAGGAAGGAATTAGAAAGAAAACAAAAGTAAATAGAACCATCTTGTAAAAATTTTAGTGAAAATGAATGCCGTCAGCAGCCGTTGTTTATATGTTATGTGTGTTAATTGACTCGATCTATCTCCAGCTGCGTGAAAATTAATTAACTTAAACGCTGGTAAATTTTTAACAGTTATTTAACCTGCGTAGAAGGCGCTCGCGCGCCCGTTTTTTCTTATGCCCACTACTTCCAAGCGCCTGGTACGCAGGTTACAGTTATTTGGCTGAGGTTATTTACTGTGGTTTGTGATATCCAGAATAATCAAGGTTGAGGTAAGGGTTCCACCGAGGCTGATAACACTTACCGAACAGTAATCAAGACCTTGATTATTCCGGATATCCGAAAAATCGAGTCTAATAAATATTTTATTACATATTTTGAAGAAAATAAATGAAAACACATCGTCTCGCAGNTGATATCCAGAATAATCAAGGTTGAGGTAAGGGTTCCACCGAGGCTGATAACACTTACCGAACAGTAATCAAGACCTTGATTATTCCGGATATCCGAAAAATCGAGTCTAATAAATATTTTATTACATATTTTGAAGAAAATAAATGAAAACACATCGTCTCGCAGAGCGCCGTTTGACATTCTTATTGGAAATCATGCATTGCGCTCGCAATTGCAACCTACAGTGTATGATAAAAATAAATGAAAAGAAGAAAAGAAAAGAAAGACATTTTTCGGGTTAAAATATTTATTATTTCTAGACAATTCAAGAGACTATAAGTTATAATGAAAACTGCATAATTCTTAACGTCTCCAAGTTGCGTTTGAACGATCGGGGTCCAGCGATGTTGCTGTGATGCAAGGGATCTGACCACCAGTAAAGGTAGTAAAGAGGCAAAACAAGCAGACAGGACGGGGACCGTCAGAGAGATTATCCAGCGGAAGTTATACATTATCTCGTAGCAGTTGTAGAAATTAATTTATTTTTGCCCTTTGTTTTCTTAAACTTTCGTCCTGAACACTTCAGTGAATTTCTGTTTGTATGGACAATGTTTTGCACCTCCTTGACCACAGGTACCCCAAGCACACGAGTGTAAATTGTTGCGTAACGGAAATATCATAGTTGATGAGAACATCTGATCTTGTCTCCTTGTTTTAGTCATTGAGCGTTCTTAGCATATTTTGCCTTTGTATAGTTCGATTCCATAATTGGCTTATAGTTCTCGAATAATACATTATGTACATAGCCGTGAACAACGACAGAACTATAAAATTCGATCGAATCCAACACCACGGATACCAAAGGGCAACAAAGTTGACGCTAGGCTGCAAAAAATAAATAAATAAATAAAACCAACAAAAACTGCTATCAGGTTAAATTTATTTTCCTTAATTTTCTTATTGGTCACTTAGAAATTTATTTTTAAGTTCAGTTTGCTTTTTTTTGTTTGTTTTAAAGTTTCTATCATGAGGATGACATGATATGATATGTTACCAAGCCCTAAAAAGCAAACGATAAGATCATCAGTAGCCGAACCACAACATCTATAAACGGAGAACTAAATTTCATTTTAAAATATTGAAATGCTGCTGCACATCATAAAGTAAATAGAATGGATACAGAAGAAAGAAAGGATGGTAAAGAAAAACAATGGGAAAACGAAAATACCAATAAGAACGTAAAAAAAGGCTACATACGTCGTGTTTTCTGAATTGGACGAACGATTCCTCTCACAAAAAAATTCCCGCTTCTCGGATTGGCTTGAACACATTTCTGTACGTAAACGCGCTGGCTACAGAAAGTTGGCCTCATAATCATAGGTCATCATTAACTCATTCGCTCCTAAACAACACGTAACCGTTTGTTCGGGTCCACGTCCCTTGTATTCTTGACATTATTGTCATCAAATTTGTGTAGAAGATAATAGATCTTTCAAAACATACCAGAATGATCATGATTCAGTCAAGGAGCTAGGCCGGAGAAAAAAGCGACTATAAAACACGTAAAGCTGACCTATAAAGGTCCACTACACACCTGCACTTCATTCCTTCATACTCCTAAGATCCTAAAAACTTTCTCAAAAACTTTTCCCACTGAAATAGAGCCTACTACCTGTCCAGCGAAAGAAAAAAGGGGCTAAGAGGAGCGAAAAAAATGGGGAGAAGGGAAAACAAAAGCGAAAAAAAAGACTGAAAATTTTTAATCCACATTTTGCTTTCCGCGCATGAACCCGAACTTCGCAAGCTGATATTTTGTATCTGGATAAGCAGGTCACGAATTCCACGACTTTTAAACGGCTTTGTGGAAAGTTTTAGCTCATAATAGCCACAAGTGACCAGAAAACGGCTCGACAAGCATCAAAAGGCGCTATTCGGCAAAATTTTCTGGGGTAAATGGTTTAAATTAGAATTGAAACTCAATGCACCATTTTTTTTGTATAAATTTCTAAAAAGAGGGCATATTCTAAAGCTTAGGCTACCTAGCAAAAGCATTTTGAATAGCAGCTATTGAAACCATTTACAAAGGATCGCTCAAGTAAGCAAATTAGATCAAGAAATCTCGGCAAGTGTACGTATGTTGCTAGAAAATACATGTCAAACATATCAAGACCTAGCTGCACACATTAGGAGCTTTTGAAGTATTAATACTATTTCAGGTAGTGCTTTTGTTTATTCATTGAGAGGATCAAAGGATGGACTTGGCTTAATTGGTTATTTTACATGTTTACATACCGTTACATTTTTCACTCAACTTTCAATATATATGCAAAGTTTCACTGCATCTATACTTAACAATGGACAACGGTATCTTATTGACACTTGCAAGAGGGAAGTGAATGACAGAAATTTATGGTTAGTGCTCCTCTCTCTTCCGCAGAAGTCTCTCTGAGTCGCGCCTTTTCCCTCTTCCCATCGTCCTCCACGAACTTTCTATTTATTTTTATTGGAATAACTAACGCGCATATAACGGGAGCCTCTGCGGGGGAGAGAGGTTAGTGCCCTCTGACGAAATTTGTC